CTTTAAATTTCTCTGAAAACCACCAGCATGTGGTTTCACAATCAGACCTCCACGCATCATATTTCTGCCATGTTGTTTTTGAGACCAGTATTTCAAAAATCCTCATCTTGAGGCTCCAGAATGAGAATTCACAAATAAAAGGGGCAGTAACAGCAGCTACAGCCATCTCTATGCTGTTAGCAAGGCTCTCCACTTTCTGTGTAGAAACTTGCACTGTGAAGTCCGGGGTTGTTTACATTCAATGCAATGCTGAAGACACTGGTGTTGCAATCATTGGAAGATGCAACAAAATGAAACAAAACACATTTTCATCTCTTAATGTTGTATACAAATCTCTGATGGTGCTCTCTGATTTTCATCAGACTTGTTAACAATTAAAAGGAAACCCAACATTGAGAGTCTTAGGAAGATAATCACAGAGGCAGAAACTTTAAAACTGTATCATCTCAGGTTTCTTAAAATGAAGTATTCAAAGTCTGAGGTAGGGTTGTTATTTGAGGTATTCCTGGAAAATCTTTGAGGTCCATTTGAAAGCTCCAGATTCTTTAGATTGACTGTCTCATACTGCGAATAGAGGATTGTAGCTCAAGTTAACATGGAAAGATAGAGGTCTAAAGTCTCTAAAACATTTGGATGTTCAGTCTCTGACAGAAGGTTTGGAGACATGTAGAAAGTTCAGTTTGAATGGGTGAAACTAATATTTTATTTACAGTTTCTCAAACACAAGGCAGATAATATTCTTCATGTACATTATTTTTTTTACAAATATTGGAACAACGAAATTAAACAAAACATTTTCATGAATTCATCTCTTAATGTTCTACACAACTTCTCATGGTGCTCTTATTTTCCAGTTTGTGTTTTGGATAGACTAAAATGTATTTACAATAGCCAGAGTTGACTGATTTCAAATATTTCTAAAATCCAATGGTTTAAAAATAAAGGTCCAAAAATTGACCCCGTTCCTTTTATTTACTGAAAGAGATCAAATCTGAGACTGTTATGTTGAGCTATAAAAGCAAGAATAGTAAAAAATTTAATACAAAAAAGCTAATATACATTACAGTGTCTGTAATTAAAAGAGCATTAGCAGCTGGCAAGGCTCTCCACTTGCTCCTTCAAAACTTGTATTGTTTACATTCATACCAGTGTTTAAAACAACAGGGTTGAATTCATATCAGTTGTCCAGTGGCATCGACCAGCCAAACATCTGGTATGGTTTGTTTGTTTTGTTTTTTTTGTGGAGGGTCCATTGAGGTCCAGGCACAACCTTGCCCACAGGATGATGATAGGGGCCCTGATAATTTGCACCCTTCGTGATTGAGTTTACCTCCAGGTGTTGGGTGTACTCCCTGAAACTGAATCACTGAAAGATGCAGAGTCAGTTCTTGTGTAATTATAGTCAATACATTTCACCAAATGCAATTAATTCCCAAGATAGTGACTGAATTAAAAACAGTTCTGTTTAATAATTGGAGATACTTACATGAAGCGGGACGCCCTGATTGAGATGCTGAGAATCTGGAATCTTCCTAAACTTTCTTCTTCGGTTTTGAAACCAAGTCTTCACCTAAAGATGGAGAGAACAGAAGATATTTAATGAGTACAATAGACCCAAAATTCAAAATGAATTCAGTTTCTCATGTTCTAGTAACCTTGAAAACACTCACCTGTTTGTAGGTCAGTCCTGTCACCTCTGTCATCTCCCGTGGGTCATGGTAACGTTTTTGGTTAAAGTGATGGACAAGAGGTTTTTATCTGGCTATCTGAGAACAGCCCCCGGGTCCTTCCTTTGACCACCTGGCGCTTTTCTTCATTCTCACACATAGTGCTTTTGACATTCTGGTTCTGTGGGACAGCAAAACTGTTCCTCTGTGACAGAGCTGGAAACAGCTTCAGCAGCCTCAAAGATGTTGTTCCTCGTCTCCTTATTGAGAGCACTCCCCACCCATGCAGTGAGCTCTGCCATGGGGAGACTTCCTTCAAGGCTGCCGCCAGAACTCCACAAGTCTATATGGTCCACATGGCTCAGCTCATCTGTGGTGCCATGACTCACTGTAGAAAAGCCAATTATACCAGGGTAAACTGCTGAGTGGATTTTAAGGCCTAGAGTTGGTGTAGGCAAGAATGCACAGGACTGAAAAAATAATTTTTCCCCTCATTGATCCGCATTCATTGATTCATTGTTTAGAAAACTTAAAAAAAAAACATTTAGAAAGTGTTCAAATAAATGAGCTCTCCTAAAACCTTCCACCTTATCTTTCTGAATATTCATCTTTGTTTGCAATTTATCATTTTAACCACTAATGTCTGAAAAAGAGTGTAATCTCACAGATTACCTGTTTGTAGGATTGGGCGGCAGGATTTCAGTTTCTTTATACCAGTGATGTCAAAGTGAGGCTGCAAGAGGTTGTTTATAAATTTGTAATCAGCTGTGTAAGATGGTAGCCTGGTATCACCTGCATATTAACTCACCTCCACATTTACTGTGGGAAATGGCCACTGATGTGTGAGTGGGTTTGTTTCACAACTGCTGTGAGCCAGTGGCTGTGATTGGGCTGGGTTCATTGAAGGCAGGTGTATTTGATTGCACTCTAGTCTAGTCTACTTATACTCCAGACTACAAGTACTGCTGTTAGTGATGGCCAAATGAAGCTTTCTGAAGTGTTGAAGCTTGTATTGGCCAAAAGTATGAAGAGCAGCTCGAATCTACAACTTTGAAATGAACTGCTTCATTATCATTGCCCAGTCACAGCTTCTGTTTAATATCATGTGATAATTCTGTCTGATATCAGGCTAACGTTGTGGTGCTTTGAACCTGTATTTTTCTGTGTGACACAATTTTGTCTGTTTCATGAATAAATTTGATGAATAAATTTGTTTAAACATGAACAATGGTGTGGTCTCCCTTTACTTGTGATTTAACATTTGTAAACATAACAGACCAAAAACATACAAGAATTTGCCTCCACTTAGACGACTTCTGTTCTTTGGATTCATCATCAAACCATAAAGTGCTCTGCTGTGAGAATAATCTCTGAAGACTTGGTTTAACTACAATTAAATATAATAAACGCACAATATTTGGGCCTTTGTAAAAATTCCATCAGTAGTAAACTGATGATAAATAACATGGAAAAATATTTTTCTTTAATCCCTTGAACTGTTTTTATTTATTAAATAATGATGATATAGGAACCACAATTGATTCAGCTAATAAAAGTGAATCTCATCTCAAACCATTACCTGCTGGAAGGTGTACAGGACCTTAAAGATGCAATTTCTAAAAATGTATATTTTTCACCAAACAAAACAGAATGAAATTCAATTATTTTGATTCCTGTTCAACTAATATTTGCATCACTTCTAAGAGTTTTCCTGTAATATAAGTTCAAAGACGACAGTATTAAAAGTACAGAACTGTAATTTTGGTTGGACGTTGCTGTAATTGTCTCAGAAACTAGAATTGTGTGAGCTGTGGGCAACAGCAGTTAATGATGGTCCATTTGAAGCTGAAGCTCCAGCACATGGATCGCATCACGGTGCTGCAGAAATACTGTGTCGGGGCTTGGTACGTCTGACCAGAGACGTCTGAAGTTTCTTTCAGTACGTCACTGCTTCAGTCCTTGACTCAATGGTTTATAAGGAAGTGAATCACTGGTGGAATTTGTGGTGTGTTAGTGATTCTTTTGCAAGAGATCAGTGTGCAACATATTGACATACATTATTGGTCAATGACAAGTATTTTTATTGTCAATTGGGAAGAAATTGACCTCAGTGTGTTAAGGGTTTTTTTTTCTTTGTTGCTTCTTTTTGCTCTGTCTTTTCCTTTTCTTTTATAATAGAAACTGTGATCAAACTTTTATTTAAATTCTGAAGAAAGTGACCTACCTGAGGTCACAGATCTTAACCA